GCGAGCGTGTCAAATTCCCTTCTCGTTATATTATACACAACAACCAACCAAATGCGAATAATAAGTAGATGACCGAAGTATGGGCAGACAGGTACTGTTCTTAATTGAGTCTGGAGTTTGGGTTCAAAACACTACAGTTTTGAGAGTACCATCAAAGCAAGGAAAAGCAAAAGAAAAAACAGTGTTGCAGTACAGTGACATAGAAGCTTGATGCCAATCAGCTGACTTCTCAATTTCAATTCAGCGTTTACAAATTTAAAATTCATCAACCACACGAACAAGAACTCAGAAAATTAGAAAATTAGAACAAGTATTACACTATAACGACCATTTTGAATTTCATATTTTAATTTAATTTGAGTTGAAAATGAAGTTTTTAAACATATTTTGGATCTAGAGACTTCAATTTATGATTTGTTTGGACTTGTTTGTGAAACATACTTATAAGTATTTTTATGTAAGTTAAGATAAAATTTATCTCATATATTCACATTGTATTCCATAACTTACAATTGAAAATCCTATATTAAATGATCCAATCACAATTCTATACAGGTCCTAAAAGACTTACACCGAACGCTACACATGAAAGGACTTATTTGTGTCTAGATAATCACATTTTTTTACTTAATATCGTGATTATATTTTATTAATTATATTTGTGTAAAAATTACTAATTAACTGGCATGTTTAATTGTTGAGTTTTCAAGGCTTTCTAACTTTGCCACGTTAGTTGGCAGGGTGTTAGTGCTCGCAGCAAAAAGGAGAGGGTTGGGTGACTGCGTAGAACGTGACTATACATGCAAATAGACTCTTATGCTTTAATCACATCGTATTTGGACCGCTAAAAATTTCTATAAATTTTAGTGTGTGCAATCGGGCGTGTTTTCCTCGTAGTGGCAAGCTATACTAGTTCATGTGTGCCTATGAGTAACCATACAACTTTTAGAAGATGTTTGGTTGGAAACAAAACCATACTTTTAAAAGTGTTCTTACAGTGTATAAATACAAATGAGATATGTGAAGAAATTTGTCTCAAATTATTAAAAAAAATACTTTTGAAAAGCTTTTTTTTACTAATCCAAACACTCCCTCCATAGATTTTATACGTGCATTTATATAAATTATAAACACGCAGAAAAGTTTATAATATGAACATGGCGTTGCCTCCAGACAATAATCACTTAGAAAAGTTTATAATATGGACGGGACTACAAATCAAGCGTGCAAGGCACAATGTATATGGCTAAGCTTGACCGAAGAGGAGAATTAACCAGGGAGGGCCTAAAAAAAGAGGGTTTGCATTACATGATCATACACTACTCTGCCAGACATCGTAAAGAACTGCATCCTCAAGGCAAATACTCCTTTAATCCTAAACATAAAACTTATTTTGTAGTATAAATTACATTATAAAATGGGTTTTATATTTAAAATCAGAAGAGTAGAATATTGTCCGAAAATTAAAGGTACCCTAAAAATTCATATCAAGTAAATATAATGGAAAAACCATTTTGGAGACAGTTATACTTTTTTCCAATTTTTTCAAGGTGTTCATGGAACGGGACAGGATAGGGACAACCCCATCCCAATCCCGTCTTGATAATTGAGACAAGACATTTTTTTTGTCTTGTGTCTCATCTCGTTCCAATAGCGTCCCGTCCCAATTGAGACGAGACAGGAATGTCTTTTTTTTTTTATTTTATTTTTAATTTGAATTAACTATACAGAAAGTATAAGAACTTATAATAAAAACTATGCAAGGAAAATAGATAAAAATGATGAAACAAGGACAAAGAAAAATCATTTTTTCGTAATCTTGAGAGGCAAAAAATAAACAAACCTAAAATATTCATTGCAAAAAATATCATGTAACTTATACAAAAACAACTTATAAACAAATAAAAAAACACTTGATAAATATCATTACCAAAATACTATTATAGTGATAAATAAAACAAATATATAACAACTAAAAATAAAAATAATATATTGGGATGAGACTTGGATAGGGGTGCGTCTCGTCCTGTCCCGAAACAATTTTATCCCGTCCAAAAAACTTTCAGAATGGGATTGTTTGGTCCCAAAATGATTGGAATAGGGACGAGACGCTGGGAATGGTCGCTATTGAGCACCTCTGCAATTTTAAACTCAGTACCTATGTATTTTTTTTCCTCTTAATTAAACTGTTAATTTTGTTCTATTAACATCGTTAACTCTTACATAAATACTAAAAATGCTAATATAATAAAGTTACAAGAGTTAATGTTGCTCTAAAAAGTGAAATTAAATAATTTAATTAGGATAAAAAAAATATAAGTGCCAAATCATTAAAAAAAAAAAAAGAATAAGTATCTCCAATATGATGCAGGCCACGAATAGGCGCAAATCTTGGTTCTTGCAGCCACCACCGCCGAAGGAGCTTCCCACCGTGAGTCCATTGGGTTCAAATTTGGGCTTAGACTTGGGCCTGGGCTTTTGATCCAGATATGATACCCCAGTTAAATTCTAATTTTTGCCATCTTTATCTTAAATTTTAAATAAAGCAGAGTTAAATCATCCAGGATAAAATTAAAAGAAAATATTCAAGATGTTTCGTATCTTTCACTAATAATTATATATCCGAAATAAATTGAAGAAACCTTATATCAATAAAATGTATGATGACAGCTTCATTTTAATCGGGATCCTTGTGAACATATATTATATAATCTTTTCCCAGCATACTCATTTATACCGATTATTTGTAAATATATAATGATTTATGCCAAACATTAATCACAAAATCTAGATCATCACCAATCACCAATCGTGGAGACCTTTTGGTCCCATTAATACCACACGATATAGGTCCTATTTGCTATCACGATTAAAATAACTTATAAACACGTTTTATGTAAGTCAAGACAAAACTCCTCTTACATACTTATCTTGTATTTCGTAAATCACAATTAAAAAACTACTTATAAACTATTTCAAATGGGTCCATAACCCCCCAATATGTAATTTATGATGCGTTTAAATTACTTTAAGCTTGTTAGTAATTTCTGTAAGCTCGCTTACCATTTTAACCAACATGTTTGTTACTACACAATATAGTCTAATTACTTGTTCGTACAAGATTGACCTGTGCTGTTTCCGAAACTGGATTTGCAAGAAGCCAAGGAAAAGAACGATGATGACATAGGTTTTGGCTTGCTTAACTAGGTTCTACTTCTGTTACTTCTCTTTGCTTGCCAGGCAATCTAGGACCTGTTTTGCCTCGCGGCTCTATTGATTTTTTTTTTTTGAATATCCATTCAAGATGTTCTAGCAATTAGTCGAATCTCAAGGTAAGTGCCTTGTTAATTAAATTTGAGATAATTATATTCAAGTTTTAAAAAAGAGATTTAATTATTCTAAAATTTATTAACAACTGAAAAATACGCAATAACAAGTTTCAGAATAAATAATGATAATTAGTTTAGATTAGTTGCTTGTTATTGAAATTTTTTTACAATTAAATTTTTTCTTAGCACCTCATGATAATTCTCTCATTCGATTTTGGTGGTTTCATTCCTGTCTCATGATTTGAGCAATTCCTTTGATTATACAGTAAAGTGAAATAACATCCAAGACAAGCAGCACGATCTATAACAAAGCACACTGAAATCTGAAATTAATCGGGCTCCAACTCCTGATAATGTATTCTCTCTGGCATTAATTGTTTTTCATTTAACATCTAGGAATTTAGATCTCTTCCATTAAGGAGGATACTTCATATCAGCATATATTTTAAATACTGATAAATACTGACATAATGAATTTAATTTTAAAAATAATAATTGCCCCAAAAAATTATTATTTGAAACAAATGATGTTAAAATTAAAAGAAGCGAGGATGCTTTATAAAACCAAGCAATTAAACTGAAACATTGTGTAAGATTACTTAACACGTGCATTTTTATTATTTCTATATCATATTGTTTTTTTTTATATTAAACCCAGTTATTAATATAAAAGTTAATTTAGTATTGGTAATGGTTATATATGTGTGTATGATTTACTAATACACATACGTATGCGTACTGGTACAACATCATGTTTATCCACCAAACATCACCGTAATGCCCTACTTAGGTCATAGGCTAGTGTTACCCAACCTATTAATATAAAAGTTAATTGGAAGTTGAATTTATTTTTAAATATAAAATCTTAATTAATTCTGTCTTTTAAATTTATTATATTTTTTTAATTTTTTTATTAATTATGAGGGATTATTATCAAGTGATAGTTCTAATACACACAATGAAAGAGAATATTTTAGAAAAGTTACAATTAATCAATTTAACTAATTTTTTTAATCTCTTCAAATTAGTTATATAGCTCCTAAATTAAATTAAGTATCGGATGTAATATCATGAGCTAAATTTTTTCCAGCAATTAATAACTTCAAATATTTTAATGCACCTTAATGAAGTATAAAAGAGATAATTTTAATTAATGTCAAAGAAATTATTTGTTGTCTGGACTTTTGGCAGAGGGACAAAAATTAAAAAATGTCTTGGACTCGTGGTCGAGTAATGGCGTAAAATAAAAGGCGGGCAGAAGTGGGGCAGGATTATTTTGAAGAAAGTGGAGGCCCAGATCTTGTGCCGTGAAGTGTGAACCCTAGAACCTAACCTTTGCTGCGTCTGCTTTTTCCGCATCGGGAACGTTATCTTCGGCCGGAGCTCGTTACGGGGAGGCCCTTGTTCGGTTCGTTGGCCGCCTTCTCTTCTCAATCTTTCATCTTCGGTATAGCTTTGTTCTTCATATTTCTCTTTGTCCGTAATCGGGTGTCTTTGTCTGATTTTTGATGACCAATTGTCGCCTTAGGGCTGCTAAGGGAATCGGCAATTTCGAAATGTTATTCTCATAGATAATTATTTAATGGAACTTTTGTCCTCAAGATTGGTTCTTGATGGCAACTGCTAAAGGCTATGACTTACATGCGGTAGTTCGTATAAGTCATAGCCTTATAAGTTTAAACTCGCTCGTTGCCTGCGCCACATTTGAACTTTCTTTGGTTCAATTAAAAAATGGCTACGACTATCTTATCGCTCGTCCGTCCAACCTCCAAATAACCTGCGATATGTTTGCATTTCTGCAACTGGTAGAGGTTGAGCACTCTGGTTGCCTATCATCTACAACAATTAATATTTTTGATAAAGCTATATAACAAATCCTTCCTTTGTAATTTGTAACTTTTGTGGAGTTGCAATAGATAATCAAAATCGGAATCTCCATGTAGATTTGGCTATTTGCTGCCCTTAACAGTATGTGATGTGTTATATAAATGTATTTCAGTTAGCGGCGCTAGAGAAATGCATTCTTACTACTTCCCAGGACAATTCTATTGCATTAACAAAGTCTAATCAAAATAGGGGTTGTATTACCTTTTTCCGCGGGTTATTTTTTAAATGCTGTTAAAAGAGAGCTGAGTAAGGTAATTGTTTCAGTATATGTCAATATTACCTTATCCCATGACACCAATGCTTTGTTTATGTTAGATGACAAGCGCTTGGACAAATATGAGCTTTGCAATCAAACATAGGGATATAGAGAGGGAGTGGGAGAATCAGGGTGGAGTTTTGGTTATTTTTTTATATTATTGGAGATTCTTGCTCACTCTCAGAAGATCTATACCTGCTAATAGTCTGGAAAGGATTGGGAGATCAAATTTTATTTCAATATTGTTATAGCTTTGGAGCATCTTTGGAGCAAATGAGCAATGGAGCTTGTGGAGCACGGCTCACCTCGAGGATTGCTCTCTTGGTTTGCTTCATGGTTTTGGATTTCTTTACATTTGTGTAATCATTAGAGTAATGATGATAATAAGTAGGCATTTCATTATCAGGCATGACAAAAGAAAGTGAGATATTTTCCCTTTGTTAATGAGTTTCCAAATTTTGCTTGCAGAGGAATTGTAGAAATTATTCTATCAGATATGAGTGGTCGATTTTCTCGCACTATTTATGTTGGCAACCTGCCCTCAGATATCAGAGAGTCAGAAATTGAGGATTTATTCTACAAGGTTTGATGTGCATTTTCCTTGTGTATTATTGGGCAGGGCATTCATTTTATTCTGTGTATCGTATTTCTTCTCCTTGCTTACTCACTACCTGGAACCTGCCTAAATGCTTCTACAATTTGCGGTTCGTTGATTTTTTAGTAATTCCATGTAATTTTTCTTTCGTACTTGTTTTTTTGAGGGAATGGGGTTGGTATTTATTTGCAATATGTAAATTGAGAGTAAGTTTTGTTCCTATTGTTTGTGGTGCAACCATTATTTTAATGGTCAATTTGTATAAATGTTTGAATGATAGTTGCACTAAAGTAGTTTGTCAACATTGTAATTCTACAGTATGGTCGTATATTGGATATCGAGTTAAAGATTCCACCTCGACCTCCATGTTATTGTTTTGTTGAGGTAGCTGCCTTACCCGTCTTTTATTACAAGGAATATATATTTTAATCTTCACTTTCTTATTGTCCTGTTTGCTGGTTGCTAGTTTGACAATGCTCGAGATGCAGAAGATGCAATTCGTGGTCGTGATGGCTACAATTTTGATGGTTGTCGATTAAGGGTATTGAGCTGTTCCAACATTTTTTACTTCAAAGTCATTGATTTACCTTGATTTGTTTCTCATCTATTTGTGTTTTAGGTGGAGCTTGCGCATGGTGGTAGGGGGCCATCATCAAGTGATCGGCGCGGTTATGGTGGTGGTGGTGGGAGCCGTTTTGGCATCTCACGTCATTCTGAATACCGAGGTGTGCCATGCTTATTAATTCTATACTTGTCATGCAATTTTCAAGAAAGAGCTGCCATTTGCGAGTCATTCAAATAATATATTTGATGCATAAAATTTTGAAATTGTTGTCAGTTCATAATATGTCTCTTTTTAAAAACTTGTTTGGCATGCATTTTCTTTGCCTTTTTTTCCATGTCTAACTGCGATAATACCTGTTTTTATACAAAGTACTAAGTGGTGTAATTGCTGAAGAGCCTCCTTTTAAGTAAAGTTTTCTATTCTTCATTTGATCACAGTTATTGTTCGTGGACTCCCATCATCTGCATCTTGGCAGGATTTAAAGGTATTTGCATTGTCAAACTTACCTTTTGTTTTTGGCCAGCAAACTTATCCATAGTTCAAATTCAAATTTTTATCACTTTACCAACTATGCCTTGAATGCCCTTTTTCAGGATCATATGCGCAAAGCTGGTGATGTATGCTTTGCTGAGGTTTCACGTGATAGTGAAGGTACATCTACGAAGTATTTTGTGTTTGTGCTATCTCCTCTCCCCACATTACTGTGTTCTCTTTTCCTTGTTTGCCCGGTTTTTCTTGGCAGTGTCTGTTAGCTTGTTGGCAAGAATTACTAGTATGTTGGTTGGAGTAATTTGTTATGTATGCTGATTCATCATGTGAGTACCTAGTCATTATAGAATAGTAATTCATGAAACCTAAGTTGCTGTTTAATGCCTTTTTGTTTTTTTTCAACAACACAACACGAAGTCCTTCTCATGTCTTTGAGTCTTAACACAATGCTTTTTTCGAAGAGATATCTAACTTTTTTGGCATGGTTTGTATCGTATTAAGCATTACTAGTTTTGAAATCTTTTGTGCCATTTAAGTTGAAGATTGATGCATAAGGTTTTAGAATCAAATGAGTGCATAGATCTAACTCTTAGAATGGCAGAGGATTAGCTTTTTAAGGATAATTGCATGCCACAACTTATTTAAGCTCATAACGATATTTAAAACATCCTTTTGGCTGTATTCAAATTTCTATTCAACCGAATGTATTAATTTTATGGCTCAATTTTCCACGCTATAATTTAATTATATATGTTATATACCTAACGTACTTAAATTGATCTTCTTTTAGGCACATTTGGCATTGTTGACTACACTAATTATGACGACATGAAATATGCTGTAAGTGAATTTATAGTTAAATAGTATTTGGTTTAGTGCTGCTCTAAGTGCTGTTATTTGTCTTCCTAACTCTGTCTACTCATCTACTGTGCAGATTCGAAAACTTGATGACACTGAATTTAGAAACCCATGGGCAAGAGCCTACATTCGGGTAACTTTTCTACTTATCTTTAGAATTTCTCGTTTGTGTTTATGGTGCACCCAAATTGTCATGTGGTTTGTGTGAAGTTTTTGTTCATAACTAGAATGAAGTTAAAACTTTTAACAAAGGCAATTGTTTATTGTGCAGGTGAAGAAATATGAGGCCAGTCCCACAAGGAGCCGCAGCAGGAGCCCTGGCAGAAGCAGAAGTCCTAAAAGGATTAGAAGGTAATTCTGTCGCTTCCTGTTTCTCACTAATGTGATGCAGTCGTTGATTCGCTTGTGGTAAACCTTTCTTTTTTGTCATGCAGTCGGTCATTGGAGCGATCTGTGTCTAGATCACTATCTAGGTCTAGATCACCATCGCCAATCAAATCTAGGTATGAGATACAATATATACAAATTGTTGTTGTTACATGTGGTGTCTTGTAAATCCAACCTTTTGATTTGGCATATCCATTTTCATGATTGTATAGGCCAAGATCGCCATCACGTTCTCGGTCTCGGTCACAATCTGGATCACCACGCCAGGTATTTGAACATTTATGAATAGAAAGCACATGATCTTTTAGTCAAGTATGGAAAGTGATGTAACTGAGGCTTTTGTGATGGGTAAATCCCAACATGTGAATTTTGACTTCTATGAGAGAGATTAAGAAGTCTAGCTATTTCCTTGGCCACCTTATCTGTTCTGAACTAATAGCTCACCCAATTAGAGGGGATTCAAGACAATTAAATATGTAGTCTAAATAGTGATGGCCCAAAACAAAAAGCTTTTGCAATGTGGAGCATTCACTCCTTCAAATGCGTGGGTGGAATGCATCTTCTGCATTCAAGTCAGTCTCTAATGTTGGTGGCTTGAAAGGATAGTTATTCTGCATGCTTTTATTATTGCTTTTGCATGGATGATATCGAACAAACGTTTTTCTTATGAAACAAGCATGTGACTTTGCAGGCTCGATCGGCCAGTGGTTGATCACTCCGCCAATGCAGCTGGATCCTTATCTGGGGGTAGCCTCTGGTGCAATGCGGGATGAGTTTTAGATGATGCGGTTGTATTAAGTTATTTTGTTGGAAATTAATCATGCACTTGAGTTTGGTCCTAAAAAAAGGCACTGGGGTTGTGTTATTGACAAATGTTATAGATCAGTTTGGGCGTTTGATGTGCATACGATCACTCTAGGGATTTATGCTTGTCGTATTTATTCGAGACGACTAATGTATTAGTCTGGCCATCATATTATGTTTATTACGTTGTTAGAGGGGTTATTTATGAATGGCGTGGATAACTCAAACGCTGAAAAGGAAGTTGACACCGTAATTGTTGAATAAAGAGAAATGAGACTACCGCCAAGAAGCATCAGTCCGTCAATCCCCTGGAATTAGGCTCTGCAAAGACAAGCAGGTTCCTGAGCATGTTTATAACCTTGAAAGCTTTACACGGTCTGTCCCTGAGATGTATTAAATCCTGTGTTCGCTGTAGGGGTGTCCTTGTGTTTGAAGGATCTAGAGTCAAGGCCGTTCGTTTGCGCCTTGTGGCATTGGTAAACACTACCGTGGAGCGTTGAATATCTTTTGATTTTGCCGTGATATGCAGAGAGTAACTGAAAATGATGCAAGGATGGATGGAGGTATAACTGGAGATGAAGAGCCTGGGGTGTGCTAGGAAATGGAATCATTGTTTGAAAAATAATTTTATGAGGTACAAAATAAAAATAATGTCTTGATTTGTGTGAAAGTATTTTTTTAAAAATGCTTTTTAAGTTAGTTAAGGGAATCTTTGGATTAAAAATCAAATTATGATTTTAAAAATAATTTTATAATATGTAAAGTAAATACGTAGAAGAGTTTATTTAGATTTGTAAAAAATATTTTTTAAAAGTAATTTTAAGTGTTTTCAGACGCCCCCAAACACTTTCGTTTGTTTGAGGTGAACTACAGCATGGTCCTAATCTTGTGGCCGAGATTGTGAGACCTAGTGGCTTATACTTTTTGATCATGGCTTTTTGGTTTTTATACTTTGAATCCGTTTGAAATGATTCATAAATAATTTTTTAATAGTAATTTATGAAATATAAGGATTGGGTTGTTGACAGAGCACGATGGCGTCGTGTGATTCATGTAGCCGACCCCACCTAGTGGGATAAGGCTTGTTGTTTTTGAATTTATGAAATATAAAATGAATACGTAAAAAGAGTTTTGTTTTAATTTATATTAAACGTGTTTATAAATATTTTTTAAGGTGATTTCAAATGAGTACCTTCCACACAAAGCAGAAGTTACTCTTTGCTGCTTTAGTTTTCCAATATTTCTTTAATCGTAGTGTTGTTTCTCCAAATGTTGGTGGTTTTTTTTTAAAAAAAAAACTATCTTCGATGGGGGTTAAGATATTGTTTTCATTCTATTATTTCTTTTAAGGTGAAAATTATTAAAACCAAAAAAATAAAATAAAGATTTTGATATGAACTTGCAGGTGGACTCTTGTTAGAGCAGCACATGAAGAGAATGATTGAGGTCAAATCAAATCTGAACACTGCCCGGTTGGTTGTGTGCCTGCTAATTTCACGACAATGCTCGTAGAACGGTTGGGTTGTTGGTGGATGAACAAATGAACAATGCATGATTTAAAGGGAAGAACGAAATTGCCTTGAGTGCATTGTACTGTACCATTCCGCATCTTCTGTTTCTACTTTTTCGTTCTTTATTCCCCGCCATCTTCATTCTCTCTGCTCCACTTCCCCTCTAATTTTCATCTCAATCATTAAATAATTAAATTTAATGTAATTATTTATATTTCATAAGATTATTATCACCACATTAAAATCATATTAAATGGGAAAAATAATTTTATAAAGTATTAAATCTGAGCTATTCAAATTTGTGTACGAAGAAATGTTGCTTCTTTCTCCTTGCTTGGGAAAAATATAAAGGAGAGGGAGCACCTCAATGGATTAAAATAAAATGATAGGGAGGAGAGGGAGACTTCTCTCCAGAATAAAGAATTTGGAGGATTATTAATATTCCTCAGCTTAACTCCCCCGCTCTCCTTCAGTCCTTCGTTAATGCTTCCTTTGGTTGGAGGAGAAATCCCTGGCCTTCCCTTGTTCAGGGTTGAGGAAAAATCCTTTCCTCTCATTTGGTATGGGGGAAAATATGAGGGGAGGAACCACAAATTCACTTGTTCAGAGTCGGTGTTTGACATGTGAGAAAAATATTTTTAAAAAATATTTTTTTATAAATCAAGAAAAACTTTTTTATATATTTATTTTATATATTATAAAATTATTTTTAAAATCATAATTTGAGTTCGATCTAAACACCTCTAAATCTGTATTTATTTCAACACTTCAGTCTCTTTACCAACAATCCAAATTTGTCCACCTATTCATTTATCCATCCATTTATATTTATAAATGAAAATGCATGATTTTTTTTGGGGGGGGGGATTGCAGGTGTTGGGGTCCACCAGCAGAGGCATGGCTGAGACATCACCATGCAGCACCTAAAAGGACGTTGGTGGGCCCCATCATCATTTGTTCCTCCCTGCTCTGCTCCGACACCCGCCTCCCCAATTCTCTCCCTTTCATTAGTCCACAAACAAAGCCCACCCCACCCTCCTAAATCAGCACAACCCCCCCCCCTCCTTTTCCTTTCCCCTTTTTCTCATCCTGCGAAAAGGACGAACTAGCCCAAAGGCTAAGAGGAAACTGGCTACAAATTAGAACATAATTATCACTCATCTTAATGATCTAGTAATATGAAAACTCTTTTATAAATAAAAAAAAAATTACAAGCTCAATTGTGTCTGCAATCTGTCTTTTCAATTTGCCAAAAAGAAAATGGAACACAGGTGTTTCCATTTGGGGGCATTTTATGAGGGAGATGGGTTTTCTATTAAGTTGGTTGAATCATGGAGAAAGAGAAAGAGAGACAAAGATAAGATGCTGCGTCCACGACACACCTCAAAGGACACGTAGAGCCCAACAAAAGCAAAGTTTGAGGTCGACGTTGTGCGTACGTCATGCCTTCCTTTCACTTGGGCTCCTAATAATACCATCCACATTTCAAGTGTTGGAAAGTCACAAACTTGATCTTATTTTGTAACTTCAAGGCCATTGGTAGTTACCTAAGAAATTAAAAAGAATAATCGGCACCAACATGCCCCCTCCCTCCTCAACTGTTAGTTAAGGTTGGGGTGTGGCAGCCCAAAATTACATTCCTGTCCCGAAAGTTGTGCTTCCTCCTCGTTCATTCCTTGAAATCAACCAATCACGTGTTTTATATTCGACGGCTGTCGACTACACAAGGCAATGATAAGCGACGAGCAACGACAACAATGGAGGGAATAATAAAATGAAAGGCTGTGGCATTTTCGACATTTCCCAAAATTTCCCTGCCAGCAACATTGGTTTCTTTTGTGGGCAGAAGAATTCTTGGCTCCTTCCCGGGAAAATGATCGCGGAAACATTCTTCGAGGGGCAAGGCAGTGCCCCCCCCCCTCCAAAAAAAAAAAAACATATTTGCATAATTAGTCAGATGGGAATAATAGTTCCTGTGAATTAAACCGCAGACTTGGCATTATGAATTAAGTGGGAGAGAATATTATTCTGCTTCGAAAAATTAGTTGACTGATTTGAATAGATTAAAAAAAATAGTTAAACTAATTATTTATAATAAATATATATCATCTTTTTTAAAATATCTTTACTGTTGGTTATAACTAATATTATTACAAGAACTACTTTAAAAAAAATAGAGAAATATGATAAACAAAGTGGATTGATTTTTTATATTTAGAACTAAAATAAAAATCAAACCAATTCTTATATTCAAAATGGTAATTCATAGCGTAACGAAATTCCTCTCAGTCATGTGGGTAGGTAAGCCATCATCGTCCCCCTCGCCCTCGCCCTCCCCCTCCCCCTCAAAAAAACTATTGTGATGATCATTTTACGGCCGCCCAGGTAGGTAGAGCCATCATCGTCCCCCTCGCCCTCGCCCTCCCCCTCCCCCTCAAAAAAAACTATTGTGATGATCATTTTACGCCGCCCAACTTTCTTTCTTTCTTTAATTTTCTTCTAATTTTCTCCCACTGATATCAGTCTGATGCGCATCCATTTCTCAGGAATTTGCTTCTTACAATTTTTATATATATATATATATATTACAATTTTTAATAGAAGAAACATCTTTAAAATCAGGAGTGCTTTTAAGAACAATTTGTTACAATTTTTAATAACATGTCTCTGAGAAATTGATATGATCATAAATATAAAAATTAGTCAGAAAGTTTATTTTAATTTTAAATTTATAATTTTTTAATATTCTTATTGATTACATATTAAGAGGGTTCTGTAAGAAAGGACTTCTAATGTAAATAGTTAAAAAATATTTTAAGAAAATTAACACTTGTTATAAATAATTAACTCAATAAATTTTTTATCTTGACACATTCGTATCTAACTGCTATATTAAATATCAAGGAGAATGATAATTTTTAGAGTAACATCTAAGTCTTTAGATGTAATTTTTGATCCTTCGTAGGCATAAGCATGTTGGCGAATGGCAAGGAAGGGCACGTGGTCGGCATTTAAATTACCGCCCCCTCGTGCAAGGTTTGTTAATTAAAAATGATGACTTGCCAAACAAATTTTCCAGAACCCATTAATTATATTATATCACACTCATTCTTTAAAAGAAAAAAAAAATGTAAAAGAGAGATTCAATTCCACGATTTCATTACGATAGTACCTCCTGTATTTTTTGTGTGCCTCCAATTCCTATATTTAATGTGAGATTTAATTAATTAATTTATAAATATTAAAAAAATTAGTATTTAAGTTTAGTCATTTTATAATAAATATCTATGGTTTTCTTCAAAATATTAAAATATTCTTTCTAATTATGACCATCATATTTATAACTATTATTTCATAAAAATATCCTTATTAGCTAAAATTAATAAAGATATTTTGGAAAAAAAATATAAAATTTTGAAGACAAAATTGATCAATGTTTTATATTTAAAATAATTTTTTTTTATCTAGCTCTTGTATTCATGAATGAATGTAGTATTCAACATTAATTATTGTGTTTATTTTGGCAAACCACAGAAACACTTAAATTTTTTTTTTGGTACTTTATAAGACAAACACTGTCCACATGTTTGCCATGTATAATGCAAAATATTAGTTCTTCGATTTAAATCAATGTTTTTGTCAACATTGGCCAAACAATCTAAATCAATTATGACAATATTTAAAAATGATCCAATAAGACTGAATGTCAGATGATTATTAAAACGATAATTATAATTATAATGACTACGCCTAAATCCAATGGTGATAGAATGGAAAA